CAACTGGATTTCACTCCATTCCCACCACTCTGGGTCTGGCCATGCAGCCAGTTTTTTACCCAACAAAGTATCTCCCCATCCAAGCCACAAGCAGCCAGTTTCTCAGGAGAACACTGTGGGAAACAGTGTCAAAAGCCTTACTAAAGTCCAGGTAGACAATGTCCACAGCCTTTCCTTCATCCACTCAGCAGGTGACACTGTTGTGTTGTGACCAGTTGCAATGGTGAGGTGATCAACTCTGCAGTTGATAGTGTTGGCTAAAGTTGCTCTTTGCAGCCTTGAATTTCCAGACCTGTGAGGTTCCTGAGGCTGTTTAACTTGGTGGTCACTAAATGCTCATCCTTAGCAAGAGGCTGTCCTTGCAGAGAGCAGCTGTGGCTTCTGCTTAGAGATCTGAGCGTGAAGGGCTGAGATTAAAAGCAAAAAATTTTGCTCTGAACACACTTACAGATGGTTTTGTTAATGTTTCTTGACAGGAATATTTGTGGGTGTCTGTGGCCAACGTGTGAGACGTAGCAGTGGGAATATTTGATTTCAAAGGCACTGGAATGGCTTTTATTTTCTCATCTATGTGTATCTTTAATAAGTGTAAAAGCAGGTGCAATATCTCCTGAAGTAAGGAAACACTCTGCGTGTTTTTAGAAGTCTGGCGATGATGACACACTTGCCCTCACTGAGAACACTGTTCAATAATGAGCCTCACCGTGTGCTCAAATGAGCTGAGCCAGACTTGCAGCTCTTTTAAGCCCAGCTGCCTGCAAACTTCAAAGACTTTTGTGTCTCTTCTTCTTTTAAACACCTCTAAGGCTTTTACAGATCTGATGAGCAACCTCTAACTAGGAAAAAAAAAAAAAATTAAAATCCATCTAGACTCTGCTTGTTTGATAATTAGAACTGAGATTAAAATAACCCAGAGAGATGCCCAGGTTTTGCCCAGATAAAGGGTATTGCAGCAACTTCCTAGTAGCCTGAGGGCAAACGCAGACTAATTACTTGCAGAAAATGGAGCAGTGGCAACTATTTTCTTGCAGAAGCACCCTCACAGTTGCCATCTGATCTGCATTGACTGAATATAAACAGGTTTGAATCCACCGATTAGCTGTGTCTGTAATTCCTTAGGTCGGGATGGGCAGTACCATTGTGAGACTCATTAATTTTCTGTAGGTTATTAAATTTAAGCTAGTACTGCTTATGAATTTCCAGGTTGGAAGGTAAAAAAACCAAGTGGTTGGTGCTCCAGCACAAATCTGAGTGAGACACAAGTCACCTGCTGTGCCTGACGGGCAGTAAATCCAGCAAGGGTGGATTTTGTAGCAGGGCTTTAGTGTGAGATACAAATCCGACTGTTCAGCATGTGTTGTACACAACAGGCTGCTCTTAACATCTCCCTCCTGTACACAGAGCTGAGCATGTGCCTTCCTGATGCTCCAAAATCCTAAATTTAGGGAAAGTATAGTGGTTAAAAAACAAAATAATAAAGGTGAGTAACTATTACACTTTTGAAATATGAATTTAATATTTGACATTAAATATGGCGTGAATATCTTGGAAGCGTTGCTGACTCTCGGGAGTCCACAATATTGACAGTGGGAGCAGCCCTTCATTGAGACAAACACGTTACTGTATAAAAAACCAAAACCAAAGCAAAAACATACTCCCTGGATTATTTTTTTTCCCCCATGCTTACACTTGGGAGTATCTTTTTGTGTCTTGCTTTTTACTGTCATCCCTCATTTTTGGGGGAATAGTTTTCAGTCTCTTGGGGCAAACGCTTGTGGTTGTACGTGTGTTATCCTTCTCCTCCTCGCAGGGTCTTACAGTAAGATATAACAGCAATCCTGAAATGACTTGGTTAGAACTCAAATGCTCACTGTCTCTCTTAAAATAGAACTTATTTTTACTCCATATAAGAAGCAGCGTCTGGTTCAAATTCACTAAAGATTTGTTTATTCTACAGTGTCAAATATGACTGGAAAAGCCTTAAAAAGGCTGGTGTGCCCTAAGATACTCCTACGGTGGGGAGGGAACCTGTGGGATAGGTGATGTATTTGAAAAGCAAAGGAAATACTTCTACTTTTCTGCTGACCTTTCCAAAAGATACAGGACAGACATATTAAAAAAATATTATTGAATTCACATACGTGTTACTTGGTGGGGGGGACTCCATCGTTCCAGCGCAGAGCACTCGCTGCTTCCTCAGTGTTACACCAACTAGAATCATTTAAGGATATAAGCTGCCACTCTGCTATTGCCAAATTAAGTGTACAGTGTCCTGTGACTTGATAAAACACCATGAATCTTCAAAAGTGATGCTTTTTCTGGTGCTATCCAAGGTGTGTGTATATATATATGTATATATATTTTATACATGTATTTTTTTTAAACCTCTTAAGTGAGAGGAAGAGGGAATGTGAAAAGATCCAGGATCACAGAGCCTCTTGTATGGTGGTTTGCAAATGCAAAGTAGGACCGAGTGATAATAACTTTTTAAACACTTTTATAACTTTTTAAACACTTTTAAAATAAAATAAATTTTAAACACTTGAGAATTGATGCTGTCCATCTGCAAAGAGGTTTTTTTTAATTTCTTGGGGAGATAAAGGATAGATATTATTGAGCAGTGAATGTCAGCTTAGAGCAGACTTGTATATATCTGTGCTTAAACAAGTTTCCTTCTCTTTTGGTTAGAGATAAAGTTTTGTTCCTTCACTATAAAATTAGGGCACAACAGTAAAAACATGAAATTTCGTCAGGATTGCTGGTAGTAGAATTTGACCTCATCCAATAAGGTAAAAGCAAGTAAAAATGAAATTTCAACTCTGACTTCAAAGCTTTTTAGAAATGAATAATACAAATGCCCAAATCCCTCCGTATTTGCAAAGGATTTAAAGCAGATCACCTTGAAATAGGATTTGTTAAACCAAATATGATGAGCAGGTATTTTTGGTGACCGTTTGCTGGATAACACTTGTTACTCTCACTGATTCCCTTGGTGTTTCAGGCCCGGCAGTTGTCCCTCACCAGTACTATGGAGTTACACCCTGGGGAGTTTATCCTGCCAGTCTCTTCCAGCAGCAAGCTGCTGCCGCTGCCGCCGCAACTAATTCTGCAAATCAGCAGACAACTCAGCAAACCCAGCAGGGCCAGCAGCAGGTAAGGGCTGTAAATGACTCGATGTGTGACACAGCAGCTTCAAAGAATCATGATTTTTTTCAGTGACCACTCTTCAGCTGTAAGTGAGGAGAAGAATCATCAAATCACAGGATGTTGTGAGCTGGAAGGACCCACCAGGATGATGGAGTCCAACTCCTGTCCCTGCACAGGACAATCCCAACATTCACACCATGTCCCTGAGGGCCTTGGCCAAATGCTGCTGGAATCTTGTCAGGCTTGGTGCCATCAGCACCTCCCTGGGGAGCCTGTTCCAGTGCTCCACCACCCTCTGCCTCAAGAACCGTCTCCTCATGGCCAACCTCACCCTCCCCTGCCACATCTTCCTGCCATTTCCTCTGCTCCTGGCATTCGTTGGTGGCCAGAGAGAAGAGATCAGCGCCTGCCCCTCCTCTGCTCCTTGGGAGGAAGTTCTAGACCCCCATGAGCATTTGGCCTCGCTTAAAAAAAGGAGAATAAACATCTCTACGTTCCATTACTTCATTTCTCCATCGTGCAGGATAGTACACGTGTGTTTGTGGTGGTGATTTATTGCATGATAGTGTTTGGATAATAAATAATCTAATCAGTTCCTGAACTCTGAGCAGCGCAGTAGGGAACACGCACCTTTGGCGTGCGAGTGGAAATCATCATCTTTCAATCTGGTTTTCTGCCCCTCACTGCAACTTGAAGGCTGTGGAGATGATGATAATGTGTGTTAAATACTAAATATCAGTAAGTGTGTTCTTATCTTCAGGGTGCTGTGCAGTATAGGATGCTTTTTTTTGTGAAGACTAGCTTGAAAAGGGTCAAAATAACAGCAAAATGAATGAGTTTGGTATCCACATGAGGACTTGAAGACTAAAGATGAGTGCAAAAAGAAAACACTGAATTGCTATTTTCATGAGGTAAACTGAGCAGCTGTTTTGCTTTAGTCTGCACAAAAATTTGGAGAATTTCACACATAAAAGGACAAAATTAATGAGGCTAGTGAAGGTTTTTCATATGATTTACTGTTACTCCTTTAAGTGTGGTTGGATGTACAGACAGGGATCTGTTTAAATGGTATTTACTTTTTAAGAAAATAAAGAAGTCACACTGGGAGCTGATAAGGAGACCTTTTTCCTTTCATTTTCTGTAAATGGTGTGTGCTTGATGGGGTTTGCACCATCCACCTCTTCTCCCTTCATCCCTTGACAGTGGTGGCTAGTTGGATTATGTAGCCTGTGTTTTTTCTTCTATTGAAAATTGTTTCGCATCTTTGTGATTAATCAGTGTGATTTCTTCTTAATTTTTTTTTTCCCTATACTTGGAATTTAACTAGGTTAATTTTCCTAACTTCAATTAATTAAAATAAGCATTTTAAAGGTCTGGTTATTTAATCATAGTTGTACCTCGGATGCAGATGACACAAATGTGAGTCTAGCAACTGCTGGAGCAGAAGGTGGAAACTGAGAGACTGGTATGAGAATTAATAGGGAATAATAATTTTCTTCCTTTACTATGACCAAAAGCCATCCTAAATATTTTATGAAGTTTTATGGAAGTGCAAATTATTAGCTTTTTAGTTAAATCAGCATTTAAAAAAAAAACCAACCCAACTTTCAGACTAAACTGGTAGTTGCTAAACTCGTTTGTTTAAGTTAAATGCTAGGAGGATGAGGTGTCCCACCATCCTTGTTTTGGTTCTCGTTCCCCTTGGACACACTGTTGGATGTGCTCCACTTTTCTCCTTTCAGACCTCGGGAAGGGCTGTAGGATGGGTGTTAAGAAACCAGATTTGAGCTTCTCTCACCTGGCCAGTTCCCCAGCACAGCCCCAACTAGTTTGTCCAGCACTTGGTTAAGCGCTGGTCCTTGTCTGACGTTGGCCTTATACAGTTTTATCAGCCCCTGTCCCACAATACTTCCTGCTTGGAAACAAAATGGGTTTGTTATTCTCCTGAACAGTGAGGTGACTCCATTTTCATAGTGCCACAAAGCCTTCCTTTCTGCTCCTCGTGTGTTTGAGATGGCAACTCCAGAAAACAGCGATTGGCAGATGAATTTATTAGGTTCTGCTTTATAAAACTAAAGCAAAACCCCGTGTTTAGTAGTTATTATAAGGGCTTTTCAGACAGTAAAAGCAGGGATGTTTTACACCAACGATCCTGGACCAGTGATCAGGAGGAGAGCACTTTGCTCCTGACAAAGTTAATCATCAAACCTCCCCACCTGCCAGGTCGCAGCCGTGAGCGTGCTGAACACATCTCCTGCACGTCCTGTGCGCACGGGGAAAACAACATTAAACTACAAGTGTGTTAAAGCTATCGATGCTTTGGCATTCACACTGGGAGCCTTGCCCTGTAAGGAAGGGGAGTGCTAAGAGAGGCTTAGGCTATTAAAATAAAAAATATCAATTGTCAGGAGGTTTTATAATAATTTTCATTACTTTTATAGTCGTGAAGCAGGCATGAGCGGGGATCATGGGTATTGTTTTTAATGCAAATCTTCCATCTGTAAAAGCATATAGCGTATATTTTTTGGATGAATTTTTTCTAAGAAATGCTGAGGCAAATGTTTTGGACACCTAGAGAGGTGATTATGGACAGGTGATTTGTGATGCTTATGAGATGTTAATAGTGTATTTATAAAAACCGCTCGCATTTAGCTTCCTGCAGCCTGCCATCCATCACACATACTGTGTGCATTGCCCTTGCACAGCGCCTGCTTGCCGAGCAGCTGCAGCTTGTGAGACTCTCTGCGCTCAAGAGTTCACATTCGGGCTCTGACAGCAATTCCAAACCCTGGGATGCAAGTTGAAATCATAGAATCATAGTGCTTGGAAAAGACCTTTAAGATCATTGAGTCCAACCATAAACCCAACACTGACAATTCCACCTCTAAGCCCTAAGCACCTTGTGTACCTGTCTTTTAAATCCCTCCAGGGATGGGGACTCAACCACTGCCCTGGGCAACCCCTTCCAATGCTTTACCACACTCTTGGTGAAGAAGTTTTTACTCAGATCCAATCTAAACCTTCCCTGGCACAACTTGAGGCCATTTCCTCTTGTCCTGTCCCTTGGTCCTTGGTTGAACAGACCCCCCCCCACCTCTCTCCACCCTCCTCCAAGGGACTTGCACAGAGCCACAAGGTCTCCCCTCAGCCTCCTTTTCTCCAGGCTCAACACCCCCAGTTCCCTCAGCCAGGAACTCAGCACACTTGTGCTCCAGACCCTTCCCCAGCTCCGTTGCCCTTCTCTGGACACGCTCCAGCACCTCCATGTCCTTCTTGGAGTCAGGGGCCCAACACTGAACCCAGCACTCAAGGTGCAAGTGAACTTCAGGATCCTCTCCCAGTCTCTCAGTGTGCAAAGTCATTTTTTCCTTTTCGTAACGGGTGACACACACCAGGTTACGTTTTGCAGCAAGGCACGCTGAGTGCTGCAGGATGGCTTTTTTAACAAGCTGACCTTGCTCGTGGGTGCAGACTCTTGCCTCACCACTTTGAGTAAAAGGCTTTTGCAAACACAGCCTGTCACAGGTAATTACAGGAAAGGTCAGTTTGCCATCTTCCCTTCTGAGAGCAACATGTGCTTAAACCACAAGAGCTACATATAAAAGATGATGTGTGATCTTTGGTCGTTATTTCTGATGAGTAAGTGTCATGTCACTGGGTCACTGTTTTCTGCGGGGGCTGGCAGCTTGGAAAAACCCATGTCACCTTGTGTCATCAACCCCTAAGTTGGGTTTTTTATGATTTCTGCTCAAAGTGGGCTTTCAGTGGTGCTTTTGTGACAGAGAGCAAATGTTGGGTGGGATGGAGCAGATGACTTGGAAGCACTCCTGACAAAGGCTGGGTCCTGAAGGTGTATCAGAAATGAGAGAGGTCAGATGATGAAGCACTTCCAGATGATGCTCAGTAAGCCTGAGAGGGGATGTGTTATTTAAACTGGGTCTTCTGCCTTTACCCTCGGTGGTAGTGTGAAGGGTTGTGGTGGCGAAGGCGGCATGTCCCGTGTCAAGGGGAGGGATCGTCACACGCTAGTTGTGACAAAGCTGCTGTTGTGTACAAGAACTTCAACTAGGTTGCCGCTGATGCTCCTGCAAGTATCTGGTGATTGTGGCTTGCTCCTGCATCCCAAAATAAACAGATTGATGTTCCTCTGTCTTCTCCAGGTTCTCCGTGGAGGAGCCAGTCAGCGTCCTTTGACCCCAAATCAGAACCAGCAGGGACAGCAGACCGATCCACTGGTGGCTGCTGCAGCCGTCAATTCTGCCCTTGCCTTTGGCCAAGGGCTGGCAGCGGGGATGCCAGGTAGGGGCTTCCTGAGAGCTGCAACTTCTCCAGTGCCCAGAGGAGCTCCTGGATGAATTCTGACTGATCCGTGAGGCTGTGTGGTGCAAATGCTTGTGGTGTTCAGTTATACAGAATGTTATTGTAATGGCAAAGGACAAACATAACTACATTTCTGAATAAAGTGCAGGTATCTCCCACTGGACAAATGTAAGAGAACAGGGTTATTTTGACCTCAGCTCTCCTCACTGCAAGTGTCACATGGTTGTCACACAGGACTTTTTTTTTTATGGTTGAAGAAGAATGTTGCTATATTAAGTTACAAAGTGAACTGTAACATCTATGTTTTCAAGCAATCTGCAGATTTCCTTAAATCTTCATTTTTGGAGTTTCGGGGGTTATATTTACAAAGCAAATATTCACAGAGAACATTCTCTTTGTGACCCTCCTTGGAGAATCACTTCATGTTTTTCATGAAAGGTTCATTTAACTATGGAATTGTATAGCCAGGTACCTAAACAGCTACATACTACTGAAAATCTGGTATTTGGTCTATCACCAACATATTTAATTTAAGAGTTTCCATTCATATATAGTAAAGAATGCTTTATGCTACATCCCTTCAAACATACATCACTTGAAGTTCCATGTCTTGTTTGCCTGGCTGTGCACACTGAACAGCTTCAATGTACAGTGAGAGAGCTGCAAGTGCAGTGTGTTCACAGATACGAAAAGTCCCAGCACAGACTGTACTTATAATGGAAAATAAAATAGTGCTTTTGTATTTTAAGACCTTTTTTAATCTGTATAACTGTATTTACACTGAGGGTAGTGCTAGTGTAGTAGGTTTGGGGGGCAGAGGGCGAGGTCATCTCTACCTGAAAGTCTTAGTAGTGTAAGGTCATGGACTGTTAATATAGTGGCGGTTTTGGTTTTGTTTTGGGGTTGTTTTTTTACTTTAGGGGAAGCAGAGCTGTTGTTCCTTTTTCCATTCAGATAGTCCTTTAAAAATCTTACTGCACTGTACTTAGCTGAAGATGATTGATGATTGTGTGTTGTGTTGCTTGTTCCCTTACCCTGTGCACCTGTACTTTCTCTCTTCAGGTTACCCAGTGCTGGCTCCTGCTGCTTACTACGACCAAACAGGTGCTCTTGTGGTGAATGCAGGGGCCAGGAATGGCCTGGGGGCCCCTGTCCGCCTGGTAGCCCCCGCTCCAGTCATCATCAGCTCCTCCGCGGCTCAAGCAGGTGAGTCCCAGTCCCATCAACCCCAAATCTGCTGTTCCCAGTGGAGGGTAGACCTGGAATCCCCTGGGCTCTGCTGGCAATGATGACACACTTGCCCTCACTGAGATCCCTTGTGGGGATTGTTGTTGAGAACATCCTCTGTGCTCATTGTGGGCTGAGCCTCCAGAACAGCCTTGCAGAGGCAGCGTCACATAAACTATTATTTTCCACAATTCCATGACAGTTATTTAAATTTTTCTGCTGACATCTAATTTCCCACGTAATAAAAGGCTTTAGCCTGTGTAGAACTCCCAAACGATCACCTTGCGTAAATTGTTATGTGCCTGGCCTTTGCCATGAGTAGTTTTGGGTTTTCTTAGGGTTCTTAGGGAGTTCAAAGCTTTAAAAGAACTTTTTTAGCCAGAATCTGTTTTTGTTAAGCAGTCTTTGCCAGTGTTAGTAACAGATTATGAAACGGGCCTTTTAATTGTTTCCTTGTAACTCCTATTTTGCTTTTCTTTTGTTTTTCAACCAGTTCCAAAGTAGAAGTACTTGGTTTTGATGTTCTTAGCCCTGCAGGATTGTGTTTTATGTGCTGAAGAATGATTTGACTTATTTCAAAACTTGTGTTTCTTGATTGGATATTGCTAAGTGTGTGGTTGTATCGATTCAAATCTTGGATCTTAGGAGAAAGGGAACATTTTTCTGTGTTTGATCTGTGTAGCTCTAATAATACAAGCAGCAGTAATAATAACTGGGTGTTGTTGGTATTTGGTGATTCTCTGCAAAGGTATAAAGTGAAGAGACTTTATGCAGAGGATGGTGATTTTCATCCTGAGAGGAAAGAAAAAAAAAATCTATAGTAAATAAAAGGAGCCTGCTCGGTTCTAACTTCCAGAACTGCTATGAACATGGATTTTTTCGGTCTGTGCTTCCAATTACTTTCTCTCCAGCGGTTGCAGCGGCTGCAGCTTCAGCCAACGGTGCAGCGGGTGGCCTGGCAGGAACGACAAACGGACCATTTCGCCCTCTAGGAACTCAACAACCCCAACCCCAGCCCCAGCAGCAGCCCACCAACAACCTGGCATCCAGCTCGTTTTACGGCAACAACTCTCTCAGCAGCAATTCCCAGAGCAGCTCCCTCTTTTCTCAGGGCTCTGCCCAGCCTGCCAACACTTCCCTGGGATTTGGAAGCAGCAGCTCTCTCGGTGCTACGCTGGGGTCTGCACTGGGAGGATTTGGGACAGCAGGTAAGAAAGAACAGGAGCTTCTTCATGGCGGGGAGGGGGAGGAGGGGAAGGGGGGAAGAAAGAAGCAGATAGCTCCAAGAGCTGCTTCCTCTGTCAGAGATCAAATCACAGAATATTAGGGATTGGAAGGGA